ATGCCTTCCCCAGACCAAGACCTAGCTGCTTCCCACGCTGCCCAGCCTAGGGGATGGAGTCTTGTGCAAACTCTGCTGTAGCCCCCCCTCCATGCGCTGCACACGGCGTCGTGCGTCTCTGCAGCCCTGGCGCGGGTGGGCGCGCTGCCCACGCTGCACGCAGAGCCTGTTCTACTGACTGCCTGGCACGGGGCTGCGTGACTGGCTCGCATCTGCTGCACCGGCTCAGTCGCTGCCCGGGTGGGGGTGGCCGATGGAGCTCCTTCCACTGAATGATGCTGAAGGGTGTCCCAAGCATCTCTCCTTAATCCCCCTCCCCCCCCTTGCTCCTGCAGACCCATGGCCCTGGGGTCCAGCCTGTCCCCTGTGTGACCCAAGGAGCAGGGTCATGCATCTGCATCCCCTCTGCACCCCGAGGGTGGAAGGTGCCTGTTCCTTGCCCTGCCGGGATAACAATGTGCCTGTTCCAGACATGGGCATCCTGCTCCCTGCACGTGGAGGGCCCTGCTGCCGCCCGCACCGCCTCGCACGCCGCGTCCCTTCCATGCGTGGCCAGCTGCCTCCTGTGCCTCTGTTCTCCAAGCTTTGGCTCGGGGCCTGCTGAGCGGGGACCATGCAAATGCTGCCTGCAGCCTGTGGCCGCCCTCACAACAGGCCTCACTGTTCTCTTATGCAAAATGTGTGCCTGGGCCGGCCAGCGTGGGAGAACCTCTCAGGGCGTCTCCTGCAAAGGTTCGCCCTTCCTGCCTGCCCCAGGGGAAGGGAATCCCTGAGGCTGGGCTGTGGCTCAGCCCCTTTGCCTTGCAGTCCTGCAGGATGGAGCCTTTTGAACCAGGAAAGCCCAAAGCAAAAGGATGAATGCTCTGTCAGCAGCATTCCCTGTGCTTCATGGTCACATTAAAAAGGGGAAGGGGGGGGCAGAAGAGCCCCACCACGGGAGGACGTTTGTTGTGGGGGAGCAGGACCCCCCTATGGCAGACCTTTTGCTGATGTTCAGGATCTGTCTCTGTAGCCAGAAAGAAAACATCTGGCCTGGAGTATCATCTCCCAGAGCCATGTGCATCTTGTTAGCACTCAACACCTGTCCAGCCCCAGCACCATGCAGCCTCAGGCTGATCCACCTGCTCTGGAGTAGGTCATTTGGCCACTGAAATGCACCCACTTCAGGGGTGGAACAGAGTAGCTGCGGAAGAGCATCCTTGCCCCTCATTTTTAGAAGGCAAATGAACTAGGTGAGTATCTCTCCATTGCAGGAAGGGGTGAGAGCGAAGGAAGCGCCCAAGGCAGTGCAGCTGGAATCTGCCCTGTAGCGTTCCTGGCTCCCAGACTTGTGCTCTGGCCGTCGTCTCTGGATTAGAACAACAGGGATTTTTTTATTTGTGCGGGGAAGAAAAGCACCTACCAAAGGCTGAATTTGGTCAGCACCCCTAAGTTGAATAGCCAGCGCTGCCTCCTGGCAAACCTGAAGCAGGAAGCATTTGGGAATCTGCCGAGAAGTGTGGGGAAGATGGCACCTGTGGCATCGCAGCCCCAGCACAAAGCCCAGCCACGTGACCCGTGCTTACTCAGAGGGAAGAATTCCACCCACAGCATCCTCCAAGACATCCAGTCCCATCTGCTCCTCTGGGCTCGCCCATGCGAGGGGGCCAGGCCAGCCTAGCGACAACACGGGATCTCACGGAGCAAGGGCTGCTGGCTGTCGATGCTCCCTGCAGAAGCTGGGCAGAACCGACGTGCTCGTGACAGCAGTGGCATGGCTCGGGTGGGCGACGGAGGCTCTCTGCAGCTCGTTACGATGCAGAGCGCAGGACCGGCTAACTCCTGACCTCCGCTGACCGCCTGCCAAAGGTGGTGGGGAGATGCACGTGTGTAGAAATATAGAGCATCCTTCTTGCTGGACATGGCTCGAGGTGGCGTGACCCAGGCGTTGCAGATGGCTCTTTCCTGGAGGGCTCATGGACCCGATCTCCCTGGGGTGGCTGGATCCGCTCCCCAGGAGTGACACGCACAGAGCTAAAGGCTCCAAGCCTCAGGGTGGGTGGGGAGGCAATGAGTGCCCGTATGTTCCCTCCCCATCTCCTTCCTTTGTCCCCCCAGGGTCCATGAGCCGTACCCCTTCTTCCCAGAGGAGCGGCCGTTCGAATCTTGTGGTGCTCGTGGCTGAGATGCCAAGGTCCGCGGATGCAGGGATGCTGCTGCGGCTGCCAACCAGCTCTCGACAGTGCAGCCATTGCCATGGCAACTGCCTCGGCACCAGCTCCTCCGCGGAGGAGACGGTCCCTGCCACCCTCCGCCTGGCAGGGGCCTGATGGAGAGGGGGATGCCCATCTCCTGTCCCCTTGCCAGAGCTGGGCTTTGTCTCCCATCCGTGGTCTGCGGCTCTGCCTTGCTCTGGGAGGGGGATGGGAAGGAAGCAAAAAAAACCCCCCAAAAACTCCCTTGAGAGAGAGAGTGGCTGGAAAGGGGGAGCCGGACAGATCGGGGACCAGAGTCATGGCCAAGCTGGATCTTCGTGGTGCCCGGAGCCAGCAGCAGCTGCAGATGTCAGCGGGCATCAAGGTGCTTGGCAAACTTCAGGATGGGGGAGAGCGTGTCTGACAGCCCCGCTGGTGTGGGGCATGACGGGACAGCTCCTGCCAGGCTATTGCAGGGCAGACTCCCAGGAGAGCATGGCAGGCGGGTTATCCCCATGCTGGGGGCTGCCTGAGGCTTTCAGCCTTTGTGAAGAGGAAGGGCTTCCTCCAGAGAGGATGGGCTCTTCCTCACCCAGCCACAAAGACCCAGGGCCTTGCCCCTCATGGGCTGAAGTGTGACCAGCTCTCTGGGATGGACTCCGAGCTCGGGGCCGTCGGTGCCAGGTGCCCAGCCACTGGCCTGCTGTGTCCTCATCCCTGGAGATGCCCTAACAGCCCCCATGGATTCCTGCCTGCCCCGAGCAAACCATGCTGCTCCCAAACCGAGTGCGAGGGGTGGTGAAAGGCCATGCATAGCCAGGGCTGAGGGCGCTTCCAGGGGCAGAGCTGCCTCATTTGGCTCTCCTGGGGCATGCTGTCAGGAGGAAGGAGTGCTCCGGGCACGGGCACTGGCTTGAAGTGGACAGCAAGCAGATGCAATCGGGAGTCGTTCCTCTCCGTGCTCCGGACCGTATCCTCTGCTAAGGGGTAGAAGCTACTGGTGTTCGGAGGGAAATGTCCCTGCCAGGCCTTTGAGCTCTCTGAAGCGGAGCAGGGGACAGATGGACTCTGCTGTCTTAGCTGCTTGGCACCTGGACCCCGGGTGGCCGCCTGACTCCCCCAGACCCATGCAGTGGGCTGGTCACTCTGCCAGCTAGGGCAAGCAAAGCATTTGGGTCCGGGTGGGCTCAAACTCTCTGCTAACTTCTGGGTGGTGTTTTGGCCTGGAATTTCTGCTGACTTCCACCGAGCATCTGGTAGCTCAGCCGCCTCCATAGCTAAAAGTTACCAGCTCAAATCCCACGTCCCAGGGCGAGGTCTGGTCACAAGGGCAGATGCCACAGTGCAGACTGTGTCACTGTGGCCCGGCCCAGCCCACGGCTTTTCAGAGAGGCATGAGAAGCCCTGATGCCCTGGAATAAGCCAAGCAGAGCGGCAGAGGAGGAAACAAGCCAGGCGGAGAGGAGTGAGGAGATGACGGGTGAGCTGCCAAGATGAGTAGTGCTGCAAAGCCATCAGTTGCTCCGGATGTGCCAGGCTTGGGAGACGCATAAAGCTGGGATCCGGTTTTCTCTCTCTCGGTCTCCAGACAAACTCCAACAGCCTGTTCTCGCTGAAGGAGAGAGCGGAGGCCAGGGCCGTGTCCATCTGGCTGGTCATCTGCCACTCCGTTAATTAGCAGCCCATGGGCAAGGCTGCATGGGAGCGATGAAGGGGTATTCGGTGCTGATGCCCCCTCTGCCCATACAGTTGCTGACCTGAGACCGCGTGATGGGGTGCAGGAGTCAAGTTGTGGTGTCTGCATCGGCCACCCTATAGACAAGTGTCAGAGCTGCCCACTCAAAATCCTCCTGTCTGAGACGTGGCCGCTCCGTCCCATGCAGCATGGCCCTTGGCAGGATGGAAAACGCAGGATAAAATGCTACTACTGCCCCTAGCTAATGGAGTTGCCCCTTTAGCCCAAGGGAGAGATCTGCGCTGTGGAGCGGGAAGCTTTGGGCTGCGTCCCAGCGGTGACTTGTGACTAGTGGGAAGGATCTTTCCTGACTGCCATTTCCACCCCCGCGCTGCTGGCTGCTTACGCCTTTGCTCCTTCGCTAACCCTCCAAGGTAGGGGATGGCGCCCATTTTGGGAGCCCCTGAGACCCGGCTTTCTCTCTCTGGAGTTAATTGAGCCATAAACAGGTGCTATAGAAGGGCAAAGAGTCAAGTGAGACAATTCAGGCGCTCTGCACTGTAGGCACATGCCCATATCTCCTGGAGCAAAGCACTGTTTGTCTTGCCTCTGTCTTATGGGTGGGGAAACTGAGGCATGAGCTTGAATACGAGCCTTGCCTGTACTTGAAGAGTGACACAGAGCTGCAGGTGGGACCTGGTACCCTGCCTCCACCCCGCACTTAACCAAGAAGATGGTGCTGCTCTGCCTGTAGCTGCCCATCACCTGCTGTGCTGCAGCCCTCTGCTCCCTGCCACCGGCTCCAGCCTGACTCTGCCCAGAGCAGACGGGTGTCTCCTTGGGCCAGGCCCTGAGACCTGACTCGCAGCATCTCTGCCCTACAAACGGTGTCCTCGAGAGGTGGCCCACATCAAGCCTGGCTCCCATCAGCCCCGTGGGAGTGCGAGGCCTCTCTTCCCCCACCCCCTGCTGCTGAGCGATGGGGCCAATCCAGCATGGGTTGCACCCAGAAAGATTGGCTCAAAAGGGGAGGGTTTTAAAAGCATGGCCCTGATGTCTGGTGTCTGCACCTTTTGGGGTGATTTTTAGATATATTTTTCCTCTCAGCAGTTGTAAAGATGAAGGAATCCCTCATTTGTGTGTGTGTTTAGGGGGTGAAAGCTGCGATTAACTTTTAATCGCTCATTTTGGGCACTGGGGTTTGCAGGTAAAGCGAGGTGTTACCACAAGTGCCTGAGGAGCTGGCATCGGTGCCCTCCTGCCTGGGACTCTCGCCCGCAGCAGCACTCAGGCCCTGCGCTGGCTCTGGCTAGCTGGGGATGATCCCCAGTGACCGCTAACGAGCCGTCTCCTTCCCTGCCCGGTTTCTCCTCTAGCCGCTGGATGCGCTCGACCTTTGGCACCCTCCAGGGGCCTGAGCCTTCACAGCAGCCCCTCCTTGCCGGGGGCAAGAGCCCCTGATGCCTGTGGGTGCCACCCCACCCCCCGGTGCAGCGAGAGAGCCAGGAGACAGTCAGCTTCCAGGGGATTACAGCGCTATTAGAACTGACTGTGTCAGGTGCTTACTGCAGGCTTCCTTGCTAAGCAGATCTGGGGTCAGTGCTGCCCAGCCTGCCTGCAGCCCCTAAGGTGAGTGCCTGCGGGCACAGTGTCAAGGTGCTCTGCTCTCCGCCTCCACCCAGCGGAGGCCGGTGCTGCCATCTCGTGGCCCGCTTGGCCCTTTGCAGACGGCTCCAGCTGGTCGCAGCAAGAAAGCCGCTTGCCCTCCAGCCCAGGCGTGGGGGACCTGGGTGAGACCAGGCTGAGACATGCTCTCCGAAGACTGTCCCATTGCATTCAACTCTGACATTTCCAGACGGGGCTCCTGAGGTCAGCTCTTTTGGTGCATGCTGTGATGGCCCCAGTCTCAAATGCTCCTCAAGGGACATCCGCCCAGCCAAGCAAAGGGCTGTTGGCACCACGTTGCTAGTGCTCCCATGCGTACTGCATCTAGCTAGCATGGGTCGTGGGAGCAGGGAAGACATGGGAACACCATCAGTTGAACTGCTGGACCCTGGGAGCCTGGCATCTGGTTAGTGGCCTGTCCTGAAGCTTGTCTTGCCGCAGTTTGGCCATCTCCTAGATTGCTCTAATGCTTGCTGCGGTTGTGCCTTCATTTTGCTGCATGGACTTAACTCTGCGAGCATCCCCTGGGAAGAGGGGGAGCAGTGGGGGAATTGCAGACAGTGCATCTGTTTGCGGTGTGCAGGAGGTGGGCATGTGCCATACTCTAGTGGTGGGGGCAAGCTGGTGGGAGGTGGGCTGATCTCTTCGGTTACGGGGGCTTCTGGTGACCTTGCCGGTGTGTGCCCAATCTGTGGCATTGGCATACTGATCCTGGAGCCTCGCCTGGTCTCCCACGGCTCTCTGTATGCCCATCGCCTAGCTACATCCACGGGGCTTGTCTGTATTAACTTTACAAGTGGGAAGTGGGGTGGGAAACACAGGTGACGAGACTTGCCTGAGGTCTTCCTGGCAAGTTGGTGGCATAGGTAGGTGTGGAGCCCCTGTAAGCTTGAAGCCCAGCTCCCGGGGGATCCGGCTGGGGTGCTAGTGCCTCGGATGTGTGCTGCCCTTTGCAGAGTCGGTCATGGGAAAGCACAACAGCAAGCTGGCCCCTGAGGTGCTGGAGGACCTGGTGAGGTGCACGGAGTTCAGCGAGCAGGAGCTCAAGCAGTGGTACAAGGGCTTCCTCAAGGACTGTCCCAGTGGCATCCTCAACCTGGAGGAGTTCCAGCAGCTCTACATCAAGGTACGTGGAGAGCGGTGGTGGCCGGGCTGTGACGGTGACTCGCTGGGGTCCTGGAGAAGTTTGCTCTGGGCTTGCGTGATGGCTGCTCAGTGTCAGCCCCGCTGTACGGGAGCACCTGGTCGTTGTGGCCTGGGGATTCGAAGGCGGCTGGAGGTGATGCTGGCTGCACTGCTCCCTGTTGTGCTGGTGGCTAAGGGAGCTGTCCTCCCTCTGCCATAGTGGGATCAGGTGGATGTTTGACCTTGGCCTGTAGACATCAAGGTCCAGGGAAGGGATGGGAAGGAAGGCCAATGTTGGGTGGCGAGGGGTGCCCTGAGCTCATTACTGAAAACAGGGGGCTGATATGGTGCAGACTGTGGGGACAGTAACTGTTGGAGACCACCCAGTGATCAGGTTGAAAGCCAAGGGATTGGATGACCTTAGATGAGTCCCTGGTCCAAGGTACAGGTTGCCTTTTGGTACTGAGGCTTTTGGAGGTGAATCTCCTGTTTTTTAGGATGAGAGAGGACTCACTACTGTCTATAGCTGGCACAAGTAGCTTTTAGCTGGACTATTGCAATGCTGTAGCTCTAGTTGCATCGGGTGCCGGGCTGGAGCCCTAGACCACCTGGGTGTGCTGGCACCGAGCCTGTCCTGGTGCTTTTTTTCAAAGGCTGCAATACTTAACTGTCCCATGAGAGCGAGATCATGCGGGCCCAGCTGCACCCTCGGCCACCAGCCGGTATCAGCAGAGGCTGATGTCCCTTGGTTTTGCACTGATGGAAATCAGCCATTTTGGCATTTCGGATGAGTTTCAAATCTAGATGAGCCTCTTACTATGTTGGGAGGGCTGACGAAAGCCTCAAAGCATGCAGTTCTGTCGGCCCTGCCTAGGCGTCTACTGAGAATCCACCGGGTCCAAAATAATCCCATGCTGTGCAAAAAAGCACTTCCTTTCGGATTGGAAGTGTGGATCTCCATGGCCACAAGATGTGGTGGAAGCTGACGGCTTAGCCACATTCACAAAGGGGCTGGACACAGTTTTGGAGGAAAAGGCCATCAGGAGCTATTGAGCAGGGGAGTGGGGGGGACAGCCTCTGAATGACAACTTCCTAGATGTTAAATGCTGGAGGCTGCAGTTGAGAGGAGCAGGAGGGGGGGAAAAACCCTGGTCAGGCCTGGTTCACGCTCCCTTTCAGCATCCTGTCTCTGCCACGGTGTGACACGGGAGACTGGGCAAGATGGTCCTGTGGTCTGACCCAGTCGATGGCAATTCTTATGAACTTATGTCGGTGCAAATATTGCTCCTTTCTTTTTCTTTTCCTTTTTTTTCTTCCCCTCCTATTGGCTTGCTATTGGGAGAGAATAGCTCTGCATCCTTGCACGTGTAGTTAATGTTCACCCTCTGCCCTTGCAGTATCTGCCTTGCTTTTAGTCCTCTTCTTTCCCCGTAGTTTTTCCCTTATGGAGATGCCTCCAAGTTTGCCCAGCATGCCTTCCGCACTTTTGACAAGAATGGCGACGGGACAATTGATTTCCGGGAGTTCATCTGTGCCCTGTCTGTCACCTCCCGGGGAAGCTTTGAGCAGAAACTCAACTGGGCCTTCGAGATGTACGACCTTGACGGAGACGGGAAGATAACCCGCTTGGAGATGCTGGAGATCATTGAGGTACTAAACCGTCCTGCTGGCTCTGACCGGAGAGGGTGGGATGGACTTGGGTCTCGCGGCCGGGCCGTCGCAGTGGCAGGACGGTGGGGTGAAGCTGATCGATGAAATGCCAGCTCCTCTCTGTGTTGGCAACTCGCAACTGCTGAAATGCCACGTCTCCTCGGGGCTCAGCCACCCTTTTCCAAACTGGCCTGACTTTCCTCCACCCCTCATGAGTACAAAGCCCCCATTCTCAAGCCCGAAGTCAGCTCTGGGGACAACGGTCTATGCTTGGGTCATAAACCTGGTCCCTGAAGGGCCACGCTCTCTGCTGGTGCAAGTTAGTGCCGCTCTTTAGATGACACGTTGCAGCTGCAGAGCAGCTAAGCTCTGACTTTATAGACACGGGCACAAGCCTGGGTTGAAGGCTGTTCCCAGGCAACCCCGATGTAAATGGACCTTCAGGCTGAATTGCTGAAGGCAGCCAGTGGAGATACCAGACGCATCCCTCCCTGGCCGTCTGTTGGCCATACGAGCTGCTGCACTCTGCTAACTCAGTGGGTCTTCACGCCAGAGCAGATCTCTGGCTTAGTAGAGCAATACTTTACTCCCATGTACGTAACGGTGTCTCCCAAAGGTGTCGGGGAAGAGATGGTGAAACACGGAGGAATCCTGTCTCCAAGGGCAGGTCCCTCCTGGGTGTGGAGGGGACTGGGACTGGCACGTCACTCCCCTCCTCTCTGTCCTCCCTGCCTCAGGCCATTTACAAGATGGTGGGAACCGTTATCATGATGCGGATGAACCAAGACGGGCTGACACCCCAGCAGCGCGTCGACAAGATCTTCAAGAAGATGGACAAGGACAAGGACGACCAGATCACCTTGGAGGAGTTCAAGGAGGCGGCCAAGAGCGACCCCTCCATCGTCCTCCTCCTGCAGTGCGACGTGCAGAAGTAGAGCCCCTGGGGGCCTACCTGGACTGCCCACGACATCCCCATCGCCATCCCCCCACAGCCATGTCCCTCCCACCCTGCGCCCCAGAGCCGCGCGCTCGCCTCCCCGAGGCACAGTTCTTCCTACCTGCAGCCTTCCGCGCTCCGCGCCCCTCGCAGACTGCCCGCGACACATGCCAAGTCATAGCCCTTCGAACGCCCTCTCCTTTGGAAACTCCCCGCCGCGGATCTTCTGTCCCTCGACCCTACTGGCACATCCTGCAGCCCAGCTACTCTTTCGCCCCTCGGGTTTCCCCCATACCGGCTTGGGTCTCCTACAGACACAAACCTTCCCACCTCAGAGCCTGAAACTGGACTGTCCGAGGCAGCGTTGACCCCGAATGGACGACCTCGGGCTTTCCAGCTCCCTGCGACTGAAGGCAAAGACCCCCCCTTCCCTCTTTCCCCAGCTGTTGTCTTGTTCCATGCGTTTTCAGCCCCAGCTGCCTGCTGCTGTCTGGTGCTGTTGGATGCTAAGTTTTTATAAAGCAGCAAATTGCCCCTTCCTTAATGCTGACTATTCGTGATGCCCCAAAAGAGTCTGGAGCTCCCCCTAATGCGAGTCCCAGCCTTCTTCCCACCCAGTATTCAGCCCTTTCCTGGGACCCAAACTGACTTAGCAGCTGTTCTGCTGGGGCTTGGCCCTGGCTGAGCCCAGCCACTGCTTACACTGATAAGAGGGCTGCTGTTTTAGTGTCCCCTCTTCCATTTTTAGCTTTTCAGCCTCTCCTTTCCCTGCCACGAGCAGCCGGGGTGGGTGTCGGGCTCCCAGAGATGAGGGAGCTCGAGGTATGTGTGGAGAGGTTAGGAAACGGCTGGGGGCAGGAACCCCCGCACCCCTGCAAGCCGGCAGCTCGGGGCTTCGCCGTACACCACAAATGCTGCTTTTCTTTCTAAACTTGTCTGTGTTTCAAGACCAGGAAGAAGCCAAGCTCGCACCCCGGCCCTCCACTCCCAGGCTGGCCAGAAGTCCAAGCCACCAGCAGTCGTCCACGGGCTGAGGGAAGGGCTGTGGATGCCAACTGTGCCAGCCTGAGGCACCCCCAGGTAAAGTCCGTGGTTCACCTGGTCTCCACAGCACCTTACTAGGGGCGCTGGCACATTGGGGCAACTCTTATGTCCAAACAGTACCCTCTCCCTTGGGTGATGGAGAGCAAGTGTGTTGATACCAACACACAATGGGAACATCTGGGCAGGTTGGCACGAGGGTGGGAAGGATGGGAAGGCTGTAGGTCCCTGCTAGGGGAAGGCATCATCTCCAGACACGGCATGGTTTCTGGGGCAGCCTCATTGAAAGGGTCTCTCGCTCCAAGGAGGGCTGGAAGGGGGCGTAGGGGTTGTTGGAAGGTAAGGGGAAAGGCTGGCGCAAGGCATCGTGGAAGGAAGGTTTTGGTGGGTAGGTGATGGGCTGAGAGCTGGGATGCTCGGAGGGTAGGGAGGAGAATGGGAGCAGTGGCCTGTACAGGATCGTGCAATGGTAGAGACCGCCCAGCCCAGCCTCTGCCAGCTCCGCCTGCGCTGCCTTTTCCCCAGAGAAGGTCTGCAGACATAGGACCGACTTTCACACAAGAAACTGTTCACTGCACCTCCCCTCCCCAGCCTGCTGCCTCTGCCCCTCTCTGCCCCTGGACAGACATTTCTTCACAGGTGTTACCTAGTCTGCTTGTTGTGGTTTGATTATTGTAATAACTGTTAGAAACCCGTGGAGTTGTTCTATTTTTTTAAATGAAAAATAAAGGTGTCCCATACAAAGATTTCCCTTGAGTGGTGATTTAATTTGGGGGCATGCTTCTCTGCCCTGTTGGCTCCCTGGGGGTTGCGATGAGGTAGGTGCCTGCTAGGCTGAAAGCTGCTGCGGGCTGGTTTGGAAGCCCAGATCCCAGCCCCCAGATGAAAGTGGAGGGTAAAGGGTTGAGTGTAAAGGTCTGTGATCCACCGTGGAGCACCCCAAGCAGTGGAAGCACAAGCATGTGGCCCTGTATCCCACCCATTTGAATGGCCCTCTCTGCCGGGCGCCTTGCCTCAGCACTGCGCGGGGTTCTGGATGTCCTGGCTCCTGCCAGCCTCCACCTCCGGTCAGCTTTTTTTTATCCCCGTTCATCTACAAAATCCTGATTAAATGGCTCCAGTTCCTGGCTGTCACCCCTTGTTTCCCTAGCCATCCATCACAGAAAGGAGCTCCTGGGGAAGAGGCTGCTGAAGGAGCGGTACAAAGCGCCAGCAGCAGCTGGCTGTACGCCTTGGGATGGGCCTGTCTTGCTCCACCACTGTTTCCGGCTCCAGGGAACTTGGGGACCGGCATAGCCCAGCGTGAGGAAACATTGCCCTCGGCTGTAAAGCACACGCTCGTGGTCCATCCCTGCCTGCCGAGCGGAGGGTGCGTGGCCGATGAGTGAGAGGTGCCAGGGCCGTTGCTCCTGGTGTCTCCTCCCATGCATCTATTTGAGCTCTCAACCTCTAATTGGGGTGAAGCAACATTCATCTCATGCTCTTAACTCAAAGCTACATCATGGCCCAACCTGGGTCAAGCTTCTGGAGACATGAGCCGCACCTTTATTCTGCTCCAGGGGTTTGACTGGGCTGCAGGACGGGGTGGGCTGTGGGCTCTTTGATAGCTATGAGTTGCCGCAGAGATACTTTTGGAGTGGGACAGGCCCAGAAGGCAGTTCCCTAGCCTGCTTTCACACCGGTGCGACCCAGGATGGGGACATGGCACCTCCCAAGGCACCGGAGCTGAGCTGCAGGAGGGAGTGGGGCTTCCCCAGAGCTGGTGTAGGGGCAGGCTGCATAGCTGGAGAGGAGCTAATTGCACGTAAAACAGGGCTTGATTGGTTCCCAAGAGCCTGGCTTGGGCTGCAGACATGGCAATTGCCTTGTTTCTGCTCCAGTGAGTGCTCCATTATAGCTTCCAGGAGGGATGGCAGCAGCCCGAACCCCAAGCAGCCAGACATCGCCCCCTTGACGGAGCTGTGGGGCAGTGGCAGAGGAGGTAGGCTCCACAGCAGTGTCTCCACGGTCAGCTGCCGAAAGGTAATTTCCCCCCCCTCCTCCTGCACCACCACCATCCTCTGGTGTAGCCTTCCCATAGCCCCCTGCATGGGGGTCCTTCCCTCTATAGCTCAGCCTGAAACCTGAGCATAAATTGGTTGAAGAGGTGGGAAGAGGACCCAGATGTCCTACACCCCAGCAGCAGTCGATAGCCAAGCCAGCTGATTTTTTATCTTTTATTTTTCACAGTTTTCCTTGGAAAAATGCAATGACTTCAAAATGAAAGCACGGTGGTGGGAGTCTGCCTGCTTCAACTGTTAGTGATGGGTGAAAGGCCAAACAAATCATGTCCACGCTGTCATTTTGGCCAGCCAGGACTGGAACGTCTCGGGGGTTTGACCTTTCTAAGACGATATGAAATGGCAGCTTGCCGGTTCAGTAGTTTCAAACCAAACTGGTAGGGTCTCTGTTTCATGCAAAACTGAAAAACATGGCTTTTCTCCACTTGTCTGGAGTGAGAACAAACTTTGAAAGGCCTGGAGTTCCCAAATCCCCACTTCCAGCTGGTTGCAGCCAGTAGATGTTTCTTCTCAAGCTACCCCTCCTTCCGCCCCTCTGCCGCTGTGTTCACACCACCGCTGGCGTCTCTGGCTTTCTACCCCTCCTGCCTGGCCTGGGCACCCAACTCTTGTCACACCCTGCGCTGTACGGAGCTTGCTACCACCCACGTCTCTGACTTGCTTTGCATTGGGTGCAGCTCGGAGTTTATTGCAAACCCAGTTTGTCAGCTCCTGGAGCAGCCACGTGCCTGGAAAGGAAGCTGTTTAGCATCAAGGACATCACGGTCCAGACCCAATCACAGCAAGGGAGGAAAGCCAAGGCAGCTCTTTTGCATGGCAGCTTCCCCTGACTTCCGCCTGTGTAGTCATCAACACCCGTTTCTCTGCCAGGTGAGGTCTTTGGAACCAGGCAGGGTGTGTGCGGCTTGTACTGCTTTGTTCACACCTACAGGGCAGTGCTCCAGTGAGGCTAGACTTGGTGAGGATGTGTCCCCAGGCCCCTGGATCTGGGGAGTGCCTGCTGCTGGCTGTTTGGGTAACTTGCTAGACATCCTCAGACGTGCCAGATAGACCCTGTATTGCTTCAAGAGCCAGAGCATCCCTGAGGATGTGGGAGGGTGGCACTCCCCTGGCCTCCCCAGCAGTGGGAGCATCAGAGGCTGAGATCAGCCACAGGCTTGGCCCCCTGATGCTGCAACTGCGAGGTCCCCAAGGGACCAAACGAGAATGTGCCCCGTGGTGTGAGGCTGCTGGGAGGGGTAGGGCCAGGGCTGTATCTAATGCCCCCTCTCCTTTGCAGGCTGCTACCATGAGCAGTAGGTTGAATTCATCCCACCCTGCAGGCTGCTGTCGGGACACCCCCTTCCGGCTGCAATCAGGTGCTCTGAAGTGGCCCTGGGACCCCGGGAGGACCTCCCAAGGGGGGCGGATGCAGGCTGGCCAACATGGCAATGCTTGACCGCCTGCGCGCACAGCCTGGCAGTTCAAAAACAAACACGATCAAATGGGGTACTCTAACGACATGAATGCATGCGAGTGCAGTGAAGCGCGGACTACGGAGCACCTGCTTGTTTGCCGGCTCCTTGGTGAGACCCGGACGAAGTAGGAGCTCACCGCAGCAAGGGCAAGAGCTGTCACTTGTGCACGACTCTGGATAAGCATCTTGTTATGACAAGGACACAAGAAGAAGATGATCCAGGTTGTTAGGGGGCCCAGCAATGATGGTACCACCACAATGGTCTAATATGATGGTTACCAACCTGTGGTCCAAGCTGCAGTGGCAAAAGATCCTGATAAGGGCACATCATCCTCATGGCTCATGCGTGAGGGCTTTTTTGAGGCCTGCAGTAGCCAGTTGGTCACACCCACTCCAGGTACCACCAACCTGATGTGTCCCTCCACCCCAAAAAGCCAGCAGGAGCTATTCTAAAAGCTCTAGGGAATGTAGTTAATGGGAGGCTGCATCTATGGGACCCTTCAGTCTGGGAGCAGGTGGAGGGAAGGGCAAACTGGCATGCAGGCCTGGGTTTCTGGTTTGCAAGGGATGGATGGATGCCAGCTAGAGGTGATGCTAGACAGAGGTAGGGTGAGTCCAGGAGACATCTTCTGGGAAGGGACTGCTGTGTACATGGACATGGAGGGAGCTCTCGCTGCTCCAGGGGAGTTGAAAGAGCCCCCATGGGTTTGTCCTGTAAGCACTGGCTGCTAGCAGCACCCAGCCCAACATTTCTGATGGAGCTGGAGAAGCAAATGGATCAACCTAAATGAACAGCACCCTGCAGGCCCCTCTGGGAAGCTGTGAGTATCACCCCATTGTTCCCCTGGGGAAGTGGAGGCCCAGGGATCTATTTGAATTAAAAAGGCCGTGGGCCTAGCCCACTGGAGGCCCAGGGAGGTGAATGCACTTGCCTGGGGTCATACAGTGAGTCAGTGGCAGAGTCAGGACTGCCCTGGCTCCCCCCTCACACCAGTGCTTGCTCCCATACAGTGCTTCTCCCTAGTGGCAGGAGCAGGGACCGGGAGTGAAACCAAGCCCGAGAGAGACTGCCAGCGGGGCCCTGCCTGCTCCAAACCCCTCTGGGGCTGTCCCTGGGAGAGGAACCGCTCCGCGTCCAGACCAGGAGACCCTCTGTACTAGGACCGTCTCCGACCGGCTTATAGGCCTCTCCTCCCGCTAGAGGGCAGTGGAAAATGCAGAATGCAGAGAGCTCCCAGTCACCCTGGCAGCTGCCACAGCCCGTGCCCGCTCCCCAAGGCCCCGCTGC